AAGAATAGACTGTCAGTTTGCAATCAAGTCATTGTCATCTTGGTTGTGTTCGCCGACTGTGACCGCAGAGAAGTGTCTAGTTCATTTGATCTTGTATTTGAAGGGAACAAAGAACATGTCATTTCTCCTTTCCTATGAGAAGACAGGCAATACCATGGTAAAGAAGCTGAACGGCATGAGAGAAGAGTACGAGACAGACGGCAGACCACAACAACATGTTTTTGAACTGTTCACGGATTCCGATTGGGCAGGAAACGCACCCACAAGGAAGAGCACATCTTCAACAATTCTATGTCTGAACAGTGTCATTGTTCACAGTCATTCACGAACCCAGAAGAGCATAGCGCTTTCATCTTGTGAAGCTGAACTACTAGCACTTACAGGTGGGCTGAGCGAAACCTTGCTGATCAAAACTATTTGGGATTTCATGGTTTCTAGTGTTTCCAGGACGATCGTGAGAACAGATTCGAGCAGTGCAAGGCAGTGGCTTCAGAGAACAGGTGTCGGCAGGTTGAAGCATTATCATGTTCGTCTTATGTGGACTCAGGCATTGATTCAAGACGGCTTGGTCGAAGTTAAGGCCATTGCGACGAAGCTGAACATTGCTGATTTGAACACGAAGAAGTTGAGCATTGGTAGAAGGAGTTTCTTGATGTTTTTTCTTCAAGCAATTCTTCTGAGCAATCAAGACACTGAGTATGAACGTGTTGGAGCTAGAGAGTATTTTGAACATGTGGAGGACAGACAAGCAGTTCAACTCGTGAAGACAATGGTGTCGAAGAGAATCGGCAGGTGTGTCTTCGGAACCTTTGCAGGATTAGGTATGAGCTTGCAAGGTTGTACGACAAACGAAGAGCAAAGAGCAGAGATGATTGGTACATTGATTTGCTTGGCAGTTTTCGGATTGTTGGCAGTTGTTGGTTTGAAGATTTTCCCAGAGACGCAGAAGAGAAGAGGTGTTGAGCAAGGCGGGGCCACTGGAACCCTGCATGAAGAGGATCCGCCATTCGACCCGACAAAGCAGATGTTCGATTTACATTTGCAAGATGATACTCGCAGAACGTTGAAGTGGATTGACATGAAGTTGGAGGAGAAGCACCAGACGTGGACAGAAGAGTTCGATTTGAAAGAGAAGAGAGGGATCACCCTCAGTCTGTTGAGTGTGATACTCAGGTATCCAGGAGAAAGTACCAGGAGAGCAGTCCGACAGTTGTTGACCGATATGGCCATTCCGCAGACAGAGATTCCAGAAGAAGAAGAATCAGAAGCAGAGTCAGAGGACACAAAGGTTGCAAGGTACTTGAACTTGCGACTAGAAGAGTGCAGTGATCCAGAGTTTTGGCAGTCCTTACATCATAGAGATAGTTCAGAAGAAATCATTGAGTTTGAGGCAGCTCCGGAGGAAGAGCAAGCAGCAGCTTCATCCGGAGATGTGGTGATGACAGAAGTTGATAGGTACCAGAAACGATTTGAAGTGCCAGAGCCTGATAGAGAAAAGGCAATCGACGAGAGCATCAACGAAAGGATTCGACGGCGTGTCACCTACGCCAGGAGCATGAGACAAGGGAGAGATGATGCTGAGCCAGAAGAGGAAGAAAGCAGAAGAGCTTCGAACATTGAGCATTGAGCATTGTACATTGGTGGTTGGAATGTGAAATGTTGCATGACACGACAACTGGAACTACGGTGGAATTCATTTGACTTTTGAATCAGTGAACGAGTTTCATTGAAATGAAGCATTAGTTTCGGAAATAGCACTCAGACCGGTTTCAGTCCTACATTGACGATGTAGGTGAGTGCCACATAGGAAAATCCAAAGCTCATTCCGCTTTTGATTTTAGGCGGGGTGTTAGCTTTTGCTGTGTAACTAGATGTACAGGGAAGTGCACAGTTTGCTAGTTGAAAACTACTTCACTCCGCTGTAGCGCTTGGGTCAAAATCAGGGCGGTTGCGTTCATGCTTGCTACCTAACAAGTACGCTGTGCTTCTTCCGGGATGCTGCCCAGGGACTGCGTCGGTCCTTGCCCAGTTGACTGCCTGAGCTTTTTGACTGAAATCTCCATGATCCCGTTTTGGCTACTGGCCTCCTTTTGATCGGAGACTCTGAGATGTTGGATGAAGAGTCATCACAATTGATATCTACCCCACAAGGTGGAAAGGCGGTACACTCTTCTTCACCTTCCAGCGTCTCACCCTGTTTCGCTGCCACTGTGCCTCCCGGCAATTCGCTTGCTTGTGGATGTTTTGCCATGTTTGCCCTTCTGTGGCTCCCGTGGCTTGGCCGTTTTGGAGCCACCGCCTCATCGCTGAAGTGCAAAGCTGCCGTCTCCCCCTCTGACGGGGCTGTGGCATGGCCGGTACGGTGCTTACTTACACCCCACAACCATGTCTGTCTCACTGACTCCGGCTTTCGTGGATTTGTAGTCTTCGATGGCTGACTCAGTCATTTTCCCAGAGCCAAAATTGTCTCGCAGCCTGCTTCGGCAATTTCCTTGGCCATTTCCTCGGGATTTTGGTGACGATGTGAGGTTGTGAAAGTATTCAGAACTGTCTTGCTTCTCGGATTTGCACTGCTCACCCATGCCTTGCGACACGTGTTCAGAGCGATGAAGCCTCTGAAGTGAGGTACCTCGGCTGCAAAGCTGAAAACCCCATCGCACATCATCACATCATCGCACGAAGACTGCAACTGATTTCGAAAGCGGTGCACCAATCTCACAGACTCTCTCGAGGTAAAAGGACAATGCCCAGACCGTGAAGTACTGAGTGTGAAGAATGAATTCATTGCCCCTTTCGTCTCACCTTGTTTCACTCTTCTCCACTGGCTGACACAGCTTGCCTGAGGTACGAAACTTGCTCTTTTTGGGTCCTTGCGCAGCTCCTCACAGAAATCATCAGTCCACCCCCCACCACGATTGCATTGCTTTGATGGGAGGAGGTGAATCCACCTCGGGATCTTGAATTGACTGCATTTGTCAAAGGCACTTGATTCCGCGTATGGCCCTCTCCAAGTAGTTTTGGCTTCTGATTTGTCAAATGTGCACAGTTGTGTGCATCCTGCAAAAGCACGTCAAGCAACATACAGCGCCTCGACCCGTGCAAAAAAAAGACCCACCACCCTGTCAGTTCGGTTCTTCCCACTGTGAAAACGGTCGAATCAAACGGGCACACACCCGCCGGCTCCACTTGCCTGAGGCAGGGGCACAGCCTGTGAGAATCGCAAATCACTTGCTGGACATGGAATTGTGCCATTACGTTGCCTGCAAAGCCTTCTTGGATTGTACAGTCCTGAGAGGGCTCACGCGAATGCCAGGCAAGAGAACTACATGGAGAGAGGAGCTGTGCCGAAGAGACGGCCTTGGCTTCACCTTCTTCCCAATCTGGGATACGGACTTGGCCTGAGTCCGAAAAAGCTAGATTGTAGATGCCTTGTGGGTGAAAGAGCATTGCACCAACCAGTCCGACTGCTCTCTCCAACACGTACAGCGGAGAGATGAGCTTGTCTAGTGTCGGGCATCAAACTGGGGACAGGACTTGGGACCGAAACTGGGGAGAAGGACCTGGGGGCAGGGAACTAGGGCGGGGAAAGCTGTAGTTGAGAGTCACAAATGATCCAGGACATTTCCAGACTACCGGTGAAAATTGTCAACCAATTCTGTTCCAGGGTGGTCTGCATCAATGCTCGCTGGAGTTGATCGGCCTCCATTATTTTTTCCTTTGTCGATGGCTTCTGGTTACAACTTAGCTGTTGCCAGCAATTGCTGGCAGCTTTCCACAAATCCACTCAGACAAGGTCTTGAACCTGGTTCATTCTGAAGCTTCATGCAGCTCAGATCTTGGCTGCACACGCACGCTTGCTTGCTTGAGCGCTCACGTGATTCAATGCAAGTCAGATCTCAGATCCAGATTCCGATCGCAGTTTTCTTGCTCGTTTGAAGAGCTTTCAGTTTTTCTGCTTCTCAATATCACGGCATGCTGGAGGCATGCATGTGATTGGTTATCATGCTGCCGGTGCATCAAGTTCCCATGTCGCTCTTGTACAAGGATAGCCACAGAAGTAAAGCTGATGGATTTCGAAGGCATTTGTTGCACTGTCGCATCGACCTCATGCGCTATGGAGCGCCCAGATTTCTTGGAAGTTGCATGTAAAAGCCGCGAACAGCATGGAACAGCATGGAAGCACACGAAACTAGTAGGTGCATTACCACTATGGGCATTACTACTAGTAACAAGAAGCTATACTAGTAGCGATTGATGTTTCTAAGAACTCTCCAAGACATTGGGTACCATGAAGAAGGCCCAGAAGGCATCAACACACCAGTGTGTAGAAGATATTAAAGGGCAAACTTGTAAGGTCTTTCGAGCAGCCGTCCTGCTCGGGTGCAGATGGAGAGTTGTTGTTGATGATGTTGTTCTTCTTTTCTGAGCATTTTTTGTGGCAACATGTAGCAACATGTTCGTCGGGGAATGATGCATCTGCGGTTTGACTCAAACACAGAGGGAACTGTCAAAGATGTCATTATTTGCCAAAGGAAAAGATGATGCTCTGGAGGAGGACAGGTTTTTTTTTGTCGTGCGGAGAAACGGAAGACACAAAAGCAGGCACTGAAATTCCAGCATTGAGAAACCATCTTGGAATTTTACGACGAGACAGGCGACCAATGCTCAGAATTGAATAGAGTAATTGAAAGCCAAAAGGCAATTCCCTGCAACAATCACGTTCTGATGAGTTCTCAATTTTGGGTCCCCTATTAGGTTCCAATATGTTCCAATAACTATTTGATAGAGTCTACCTGGACTCAGGCCCGAGCCGTTTCCCCGTCTCGAGCTCGTGCGCAGGATCAGTTGGTCCTTCATACCGAGTCCTTGGAGCACTCGAGGACGGAGTCCATGCAGTCGGAGGATCCCGTCTCCGACGAAGAGGCGGTCGCTTGGAACGAAAAAGGGGGGCCGTCGTGAGCACCGGAACGCTGCGAAACACCGAAAGATCCTCGCCCAAAGATTTGGAAAAAGAACAAAACAGTTCACCAAGAGTGGGCTACTGGCATCGCTACGAACGGAGCAAGGACGCTTTGTTTTTGTTTTGTCTTTTGTTCGTTCGCAGAGCTCGCCGAGCTCGCCTTGGTTTGTTTTAACCGATCCGAGGTGGTCCCGGTTGATGTGCCTTATGCCAAGTGCCGGTGGGACTTCTTTCTGAGCCACATGGCTGGAGAAGAGAGAGAGAGAGAGAGCTGATGAGCAATTTGAGTTGGGATGAGCTTGGAACCACAACCCGCTGATAACCTCACTAAATACTTTGCCTTCCCTTATGAGCAATGTAGGACCTGCTTCTTTGCTTCTCTTGTTTTGCTGTTTGAACACTACGCCTTAAGCTAGTGAAAACATATTGTTTGAGTGGCCTGTGATACCAGATAGGCCAGATAGGTGACGGGAATGAAGATTATTTCACAGACTTGCCATGAGTCCATTGATCATCCACTTAAGGTCATAAGCAATCCAACGCACAAGACGCTGTTCAGAACCTCCGCTTGGCGCTCTCCGAGAGGTTCTTAGGGGCCTCGTTCTGGTTGGACATCGAACAGGACCGCATTGTTTTCTTCCAAGCCTGGAAGTCTAGGCTTCAAACAAAGTGGCTTTCCGAAACTCAAAAGCGTATGAGGGCCCCATAGAACCTTCTCCACCTTAATTACGAACTGCTGGGGTTCGTTTTGAACAAAACAAATCCATCGGTGTCTTGGTCTCTTTCTTCGCTCATCGGTTCCCAGGATCCCACGGTGAAGGGCATGTGCCATGGGGTCTCCAATTCGCGGAACGTCTTGATCTTTCTGACGGAGGGCATCTCCGATAGCAAGTTTTGCCAGATGGAGATGCGCTGGGCGCTGGAGGTGGGCGCTGGCGCGGGGGGGCGGTGATTGGCTTTGATTCAGAAAAGGACATTTTCTCGCACATTCTGCTATTTCTTAGAAAATCATGCCAAGGGCTTTCTCTGTTTGCGCCATCAATCTGTTGTTAATGCAAAAGGAATGTTGAAGGGGATGATCCCGTGTTTCTTCAAGTTCAAATTTTGGAGTGATTTGAATGGTTAGACACTTTGACGCTTGAGCGCGGTTGAAGACTACCAACAAGTCACAGTGTGCGAGTCGCTTTGCAGCTATCGGTTGAGACTGCTTTGGCCAACTCCTTCAGGCGAACAGAAATCTCATTCTGGTCATGGAGACCGACGACCGCCATGGAAAGCCCAACATGGAAGAACTGATCCACAGGCCGAAGTCGGATCCGAATTGGTTTGGGTTGGAGACAGAGCATGAATGAGGTAGAGATACTAGTAGCGTCCTTACTCCGAGTAGCGATGCCTAGTAGCTTCTTGCTCCTAGGTCCTCTAGTAGCGTCCTTGCTCCTAAGGTAGTAGATGATACGTTTTGGATATCATTTCTTTCATACGGTCTTAAGGACTACAGGAAGGTAGGTGACGGATGTAGACGGTACTTTTGGTACAAGTATAGGGTACGGTATAATGGTAGAATTGACAGTTTGGGAGAGTTGATTCAGAACAGAACAAGATAGGTTGGGATCACCACCTTGCTGTGCTACCGTGGGGACGGTTGCTTCAGGTGCCCTGATGACTTGAAGGCCATTTTCACTCAGATCCCTTGCTGCACATGTCACTGCGCAGTCATGAGGTGTTATAGAAGAGTCATGACATGACGGTTGTTGTGTATAACTTGGGAAGCTACTAGTAGCATCCTTGTTACTAGTAGTGATGGCCTCCACCTAGTAGCGAACATTGTTCGTAGTAAGAATGCTCCGTTCGTAGCGATGCCAGGAGCCCCGCTGCATAACTCGGGAAGAGGACAGTAGGGCTTGTCACTTCGTTGTTCCTTCGTTGTCACTTCGGTTCTGAGACCGGCCTTGTGCCGATCATCGAGAAAGATCCCTCCACCAGTGGTTTCTTGAATCGGATTCAAGTTTGGTAGGGCTTGTGAGTTATCCACTAGCATGTGCCCATTCTCCAATCGCTTGTTCCAAGCCCTCTCAACTTGCAAAGGTTTTGGACCCTAAACATGATGAAATATGGAGAAACGTGCTGAAAAGCTGCATCTCTTGTCAAACTCGGAGTGATGAATCATACCATAATACCAACCCTAATCAATCTGCCAACAGACTTGCACGGGTTCCTGTAACATAAGCAGGTGTCTGCTCAGGTAAGTCCACAAGGGCACAACACGTGACAGTGCATATAGTTAATATATACATATACATGTCCTCGAATAGCCAACCATTAAGTACTATGAACAATAGTTCGTACTACTAGTACTACTGTAGTTTTAGTCTTAGTCTTAGTTGTGATCGTAACTTAGAGCGTACCTCACAGTGGCAATGGCAAAGACACAATGCTTCTTTGGGTAGCTCCTCTACTCGCTCCCTTCAATTTCCCGTCACCCAACCTCCCAACTATCCAATCACAATAGAACAAAGTAATCACCATCAGCAAGATCAAAGAAAGATAAAGAAAGCCAAACCATGCATTCACCATTCAATCACCACCATCCGTATTTGATATCCTTCCACAACATGTTCTTAATTTCCTTCCACATACATATATGTATATGGTCCTTAACTATGAGCTCTCTACGCACCTCAAGCTCTAGTGTTCAAGGTAGATGTTCTGCTGGGGAGCTGTGCTTGAGGGTGCTGCTTCTTTGATCTCCATTTCAGGCACCCTCTCGTGCCCAATCCATTGCCATCCATCTACTGTGCTCCCTTTGCTCTCAGGCCTTTCCATTGGATTTTTCCTTGGACTTTGCTGTGGATTGTGGCTCTTTTGGGTCTTCATTAGGCCTTTGCTTCAATCTGCCCCGGCGGCCTCACGAGAGTCGGCCCCTGTCCGACCTCCTTCTCACCACCTTCTTCGCCTACGTGCTTGCTTGCATGAGTGATCAGGCAGCCTTGCAGCGGGACTTGCGAGCATTGACCACTGCAATACAAGAGCTGACCCTGGTAACCAGGGAATTGGTGGGTGAGCGTTCTTTTGGGGCTGAGAGTGAGCCACTTCCATCCAGCACTCCGGCCGGACCGCCTACGAGCAAAGGGTGGCTTTTGGTGTCAGAGGCATCCAATATTCCTGGTGCTCCACGAGATTTCTTGTTGCGACCGGTTGCCATTGAGTTTGAGGAGGGCCCTCCTGATACTCCTGATTTTTGCCAGGTGCTAGCACGCCGCAGCCTCTCTTCATCCAAGAGCTCTCCGGACGATCGAGCTCGAGAAGCCTTTAAGGCCGGCTTTTGGGTCCGCGCCTTTTGGACCTGTCGAATAGAGGGTGTGAGCCAGTATCGCCCTGGTGTGACTTCATTCACCCATTGGGTTCTTCGAAAGGGGCCAGGCTTTGATTTCCTGAGGGTCTCCAGTCAGGCCGATTCAGACAGGTTGACAGCAGCATTTCCGGAGATTGTCCTGGTTGAGAAGCTTCCAACTCTGACCGAGCTGTACATTTTCTGTGCAGGTGCCCGTATCTTGGCGCCACCGCTATGGCGCTGGACAGGCAGTCAGTGAACTTTGCTTCCCATGGGCAAGAGCACCCTCTCTTGGTTTTGCACCTTCCTGGTGAACTTACGGAGAGTGGTGATGAAATTCAGTGCTTTGCAGTCCCCCTGGTTTCAAGAAAGAGGGGCATGATGCTGGCTATGCCTTTGGGTGTTTGGAGCCCTTCCTTGGTGGATCGGGCACCGCAGTAGATGAGGATGCTCTTGTGGGGCCTTCTCAGGTTTTTGAAGTCGAGATGATCATGGAAGATGAGTCGACAGGGGCACCATTCAATGCAGGTTTCAAGAGTGATGTCCTGGTTGCTGATTTTTCCAATGACATTTTGAACTACCTCAGGGAATATGACCCTGTGACAGACTCTACGGAGGGAATTCAAAGTTTTCATGAAGTACACCCTTCAGCAATCCCAGCGGCTCAGGACCTCCTTGCTCAAGTGCTTTCTTGGGCAGTGAAGCAGCCAGCCGAATCCATTTTTACAGCGCTCGAGAAGAGCCAGTTGCAAAGGGGTCGGAAGCTCCAAAGAAGGCACCGGCCAAACGGATGACTACTGCAGCTTTAGCAGATCAGTTGGCAGCTTTGTCTGCGCAGGTCGCTATGATCGCAGCCCAGCAGAACCAAACCAGAGCAGCAGCAGAAACGCCGGCTGCTCCTCGCAACCAATCTACCACTGCCATTCATGCCAACGGGCTAGACGGCCAGGCCCTTTCCGTTCACGTCCCCAAGATGCCCCCCGTTTCCCAGGGACTCCAGACCCCCGGCTTGAAAGCTTTACAGCTTCTCGGTCCGCCTCCTCGGACCTGGGCATTCTCAGTGACTTCTGGACTTGGTCACCAGCTATTAGACGATCCTTGGGACCCGCTCAAAGCCCCGCCAGAGACACCAGACCAGATTTTGTCGCACCAGACGATGGCTCTGAACGCTCTTGTCTCACATTTGGTTCAAGGGGGCGACTCCATCGGGCTGGACTACCATGCAGGCGGAACCAGCTCGAGTTCTACAAAAGGTACAATCAAAAGAGAAAAGCTTCAGCAGGAGTTGGCGGCTCGACAGTCAGGATTTTTCTTGGCACTTCAACAGCAGATCCTCAGGAAGATGAACCCATCGGCTATTTTGCCCCGCGCCGAGGAAGAGATCCAGAAGAAGTCCCCTTCCCTCCTGGCGTACCTAGAACGCTACGGAGGATTCAAGGGACAGAAGGAAGCAGGGCTGACCATGTGGATCTTTGCTCATGCTCTCGATGCTGCAGCATCCGGAGACTTCTTCGCTACAAAGGAGTACCTCGCCCTGGGTATCATGGCCCTCGAGCAAAGTGCTTTCGATGCGGGCGATTGGGGCCCCCTGGAGGACCCGCCTATGAATCTGTCCGGCCTTTCTCGCCTCTTGTACCTCCACAGCTGGCTTCCATCAACCTGGCATATTTGAAGGAGATAGATGTCCTCCAGACTCGACGTCAGCAGTCAGCTCTTCGATGGCCAGGTGCTTGTGAAGTTCGGGTTGACTCGTGCCAGTATGGCTCGATTCATTTGAAATCCTTTGCATTGCTTGGTATCAACCTCGACTTGCCCTCTATAGCCCGCAGGTGTCAAGGACAATGTCAACATGTAACAGTGCAAGGTGTTTACACCAAGGCCTCTGCAATATACACTCCTGAACTGGCAGCTGCATTAGCTTGGGCCTTCAAGCACTCCATTTCCTGCATCAAGCACCTCCGTGCTGAAGATTCAGGGATTAAATTTGATGGTTTAGAGAATCAGCTGGTCAACGAGATCATGGAATCTAACGACTGGCAGGTCAAGAAATGCTGGAGGTTCAAGAAGGAGTCACACATCAACCTCCTTGAGCTCAAGGCCGTGCAGAAACTGGTTGAGGATCGTGCTCGATCTGGGCCTTCCCGTTTTCTGGGCTTGGTTGACTCGAACGTATCTCGATGTGCCCTGGGAAAAGGCAGATCAGCCTCAAAGTCTATAAGCACTATCCTCAGGAGGATTGGAGCCACTTTGGTCGCCTATGACCTCTACCTTGTGACACCCTTCTGCCCTACAAGGCTCAACTGTGCGGATGACCCAACACGTCAGAGACCACTTCGCACTTCAAGTCCAGGGCTTGGTTGGAGAGATCTGTCCAATGAAGTATTGTGGCAACTGGCAGAGGTCAGGCCAACAAGGAGGTGGGCGTCAAACTGGTTACGTCTGACGTTGCTTTTGGGTGGCCTTGATCTTCTGGGGCTGCATGATCGGTCGGTCTACAGACTTCAGCATAGCAGTCGAAGCCCTTTGTTTGGACCATCTGGTGAGGCTCTCTCCTGTCCTTACTTCAACTACCAGGGCTTGGACTTCGATTCGACCTTGGATTTCCTGGTGAGGGTCCCGGTGCCGGCATATTTCTGCTCTGCTGTCTTCTTCTCCCTTCTGGAGTGCTTGGCTCCCTCCCTTTACTTCTCGCTCCTCTCCTTGGCTGGGGTTCTGGTTTGCCGGGGTGCTTGCCTTAGGTTCATGCCCCTTACTTGAAGCCATGTTCCCTCGTACTGGAGCTGAAAGGGCACGAGCTGCCGAGAGATCTGCAGTCGTCCTACCTGAAGGGCGCCCTACCCTGCCAGTTACAAGCAGATTGCGAGACAGGTACTGGGCTCAGTTTGAGTTTTGGCTGGAAGCCGAAGGGATTGATTTTTCAGCTTTGCTTGAACAACATGTTGCTTTTGTCGATGAAATCAATGCAGTGTTGGCACGTTACGGTAGAGCACTTTTCCACGCTGGTAAGCCTTATAACCAGTTCGCAGAAACTGTGAATACTCTGACAACGAAGAAGCCGGCCCTTAGAAGAATGATGCAAGGGGCATGGGATGTCGCCTATTCATGGCTTCATCTTGAGCCAGGAGCGCATCATGTTGCTATGCCTTGGCAAGTGTTGCTCGCTATGCTAGCGGTGAGTTTGACCTGGGGGTGGACCTCCTTTGCAGGATCCCTTGCTTTAGCATGGGGCGCTCTTTTGCGCCCAGGTGAACTTTTCGCCTCTTCCAGGGCTGAGCTTTTGTTGCCGAGAGATGTTGACAACGCAGTCTCCTTTGGTTTATTGGCTATACAAGAGCCTAAGACAAGAAGAACAGGTGCGAGACACCAAGCGGCGAAACTTGATGTTCCTGATCTTTTGAAGGTGGTTGATTTTTGTTTCGGGCATCTTTCTCCAAGCACATTGCTGTGGCCTTGGTCGGGCCAGACATTCCGGACTCGTTTTCGCGATGTACTGCAGGCTTTAAAGCTGCCCATACATAAAATTGGTGACATGAAGGCGCTTGATCCTGGAAGCCTCCGCTCCGGAGGTGCCACGTGGCACCTCCAGATGACGATGGAGAGTATACTCGACGAAAGGGACGTTGGATTTCTGCTAAAGTTATGGAAAAATATATCCAAGAAACTGCTGCGCTTCTTTATTTGAAACGTATTCCACCGTCTTCCCGTGAGTTTGTGCTGACTTTTGCCCACCTCTTTCCTTTTGTCTTCACAAAGGTACAGTGGTACAAGCAGCCTGAAGCATGGAGGGTCCTTCTGGTTAAGGAAGAGCTTGGGTGAGTTGGGCAGAAGTGGTGGAGAAGAACTTGGCAGGTGTCATTCGACACCCTGTGGATGTAAATGAATGGAGAAAAGATGTGCGGCTGAGTGAATCGTTATATATATATATACACATTCAAAGAGTAACAAGAAGCAACGAACAAAGGGCATCGCTACTAGGAACAAGTGCATCGTTTCTAGTAACAAGTGCCTTACTACTAGTAGCAAGAAGCTAATTAAGAACATGGTTTCTAACTAGCTTCTTGTTCCTAGTAGCGTCCTTGCTTCCACATCAATCCCTGAGTCCAAGGAACGAGATCATCCCGTGGTTCCGGGACCCCGAGTTCCGCTTTGTGAGCGTCGACAAGATCCTGAAGAGCTGCGCCGACGACCCCCGCAGGAACGCCTCGAATCGGAAGGCCGCCAAGCCGCTGGTGCCACTCGGTTTGACCGAACCCGCACGGGATGTGAAGGGCGGCGCGACTGGTGAAAGGGGTCGGCCCTTGAAATAGAGAGTTACAGTAAATGTTACTTATGATGTTAGTTGTGTTATTTCTCTCTTTGATTTTGTACGTATGTTACGTAATTGTTATCATTGTCTTTTTGTTTTTCCTCCCTTCATTATTTCTTTTCTTCTGTTTATTCCTTGTGACAGGAACATACAGGAACATGTTGAAGTGAAGCAGTTAGCAACACGTATAGGCTAGGCAACCTGTTGTACGTGCTTCATTCCGAGAAAGGACCAACTCGGGACAAAGGGCCACTGAACTCTACTTTGTTCGAGGTACGGCAAGGGCGGCGACAGCGAGGAGGGCGCGGAGGTCTTCGACCGGAGCTTCGTGATTTTCACCGCCATGTGTGGTGTGGCTTTGCCTGGAGTGCCTTGGAGGGTGGAAGAAGGAGGGGCTCATAGAGACCCTTCCGGTCACACCGATGTGACAACTGTAGAACCGGGTAGAGCCGGGTAGAATGGTTAACAACTACAAACTCGCAAAGTTTCATCGACTAGGTTTGGTCACCCAGTCATAGTCGGTTTTCCGCCTTTGGCAGGGGTTGCAAAGAACCAAACCAATTTCCATCAGATTCTCTAAATAGCGACATGCACCTAATAGCTTCTTGTTACTACTAGTAAGGCACTTGTTACTAGAAGCGATGCACTTGTTCCTAGTAGCTTCTTGATACTACTAGTAAGGCCAGGAGCCCCTAGTAGCTTCTTGCTCCTAGTAGTAAGGCACTTGTTTCTACTAGCTTCTTCTTACTACTAGTAAGGCACCTGTTACTAGAAGCGATGCACTTGTTCCTAGTAGCGAACATTGTTCCTAGTTTGTTCAGAGTTTTCTGAAAGCCCATGCCCTTGGGATATTGGAGCCTTCGACCATGTGTCCTAATCAAAAAGAGCTCTTCCTGGTCACTCATCACAATGTTTCACCCAAAAAGCAAAGAACGTCCTCCTTTGGAAGTGATCGAAGGTCGGAACCCAGACATGAGAATAATCCTTTGGAACTTCCAACAATTTAAACTAGGCTTTCACACATTTTGTTGGTTTCAGCATGTTTCAGCTAAGTTGTCCTCCCCATGAAAGCGGCAATCTCTCAGGCTGGGCCCAAGACGAAGTGTTGGGCGGTGGCGGTGCGAATCATCCTGCTGACCTGCGGCATGATGTGCTGCAGTCGGCTGCTGACGCCTGAAGGCGCCGCACCTACGCGCTGCGCCCAGCGACGCGCTGCGCCCGAACGCTCCGTTCGTAGCGGCCCTTTGCTCCTCGTAGCGTCCTCTTGTTCCTAGTAGTAAGGCCAGGAGCCCCTAGTAGCGTCCTTGCTCCTAGTAGCGATGCCAGGAGCCCCTAGTGGCGTCCTTGCTCCTAAACAGCCACGGATCTGAAGGATCGGAGTTTCGTCGCTATTGTAAACAGCGGTTTGGAGCGCGGGGTCCCTCTTCGACCGGTTTGGAGGATGTTTGGTTTATCCGCTTTTGATCGCTTTTGCTTCAACAAGTCGACAGACTGGTTCTTTGGGAGGCCAGACATCTCTGTTCTCCTGCCGTGCGACGATTTTGGGGACACCAACATCGTCGCACGGTCGCGATGTTCAGGGTCGCCGCCCCCATCGCCAGGGCCTGCCTTCTTGGACTACTTGACGATCATCCAAATTGTCGCGGCCCATCCGATGATCTTTCTCCTCCTGCACGTGGCCTGGCTCTGGGGCCATGGTCACCGATCGATCACTCCAAGGAGAAAATGAAGGGGACATGAGGGGGGTCAAGCCTGGCCTATCTCATACGACGTGTTTCTTGGGATGCTTCGAAAACCTTCAAGTATCTCAACAACAGGTCCAGGTGTTCTTAACTTCTTCTTAGTCTTAGTCTTTGGCTCAAGAACTTTTGTGCCCGGGCTCTCGTAGATGAAGATGGGTGCAAGGGAGGTAGGTTGGAACACTTTGGGCACCAGGGTGATGTCGGTCCTCTCGGCACTTTCTCGCGAATTTCCGCGCTGAACGAGGTGATGTTGGTCCTGCTCCGCTCGGACCTCATCGCTGATCTGCTGGAGAACCACATCGACTGCCCCAGCGAGGACGCGGGATGAAAGAAGGGGTGGCTGTGTAGTTTGGGGTAAAAGAAGCAGGCATATGTTTCTGCCCACAGAGTTCAATTGTCATGTGGGTGTTGTTGTTTTTTTGAGCGGTGAAATGGCCAGTTGGCACAGAGTCCGTGAATCATCAGGAACTAAATGGGTAGGGTCCCGTAGGGTCCCATAGCGTCTGCACCTGCTGCTCAAGTGGGGCATTAACATGCATGAACCACTGGGAGGTCCTGTTTCCTTTATTGGGGTCACTTTGTAAGTGCTCAGCTTTCCACTCAGGCCCACCCAAAGCGAAATTCAAGTCACACCCCACTTATTCTCCCACTCATGGACTGGAATTGTCTTCGCCTTCGCAGGGGAAGAAGCTGCGCTTTAAGACCAAGCTCCTCACAGGTTTGGTAGCGCTGCTGACGACCACCTTGTCATTGTGGGGCTGGGTAGGTGCCTCGCCCAAGTGGAGTGCTCCTGTCGGGGTCGTGACCATGCGAAGGGTAGGGTCATGCAGTGGTGGTATCCCTCAAAAATTGGCTAAGCATGCCAAGGGATCTCACTTCGCGCAGAATAGCCCAACATCCTTCTGGATACACATGCAGGTTGCAGCCGAAAGAGTCCCTTCCGCACCCTTCCCTTCCAAACCTTTTTGGCCGGAAAATCGGAGGTCCAGTTGAGCGGCGGGACCTCGCCAGGGGACCAGGCTTACCTACCCGTGCACCCGCGTGCGGGCCGAGGTTACCTGCCCGGATTTTTCCATCCCTACTATCTCACCAGCGGGAATGGCTTGGTGGTCTATGGCACCTTGGTGGACTTGGATCAGGTTGATCAGCGTGATCTAATTTGGCATGCCATCCTTGATATATTAGTGAGTGCTACTTTGGGAGTCACTAGATTTCAGTAGTGTTTAGTTTTGAGAGGGAGAACGGTGCAGGAAGGTTCCAAACAATCTAAAGGGTTACGTATATAGTATATACTATAGGCAACCAACGCAGCCAGATTTTACGCGACGTTTCAGAATCTCAACACTTGAAGCGACAGATACAGGGCAGCACTAACGGCTGGCAAACAGAAACAGGACCATCTAGAATCTGGAGCCAACAATCAACTGCGAAGAGAATCACGACTGTAACCCAATACGACTTGATAAATACCATTTTCAGAGCAGCTATTGAGTCGAAAGGTCATATTTTGCGGCGGAGTAAAGAGTCGAAAGCGTCCAACAAGAAGCTAACGAAAAAGAACAACAGTAGCTAGAAGCTAGTAGTAACAAGAACGCTACTAGGGGCTCCTGGCCATACTACTGCTAGGAGCAAGGACGCTACTAGTAACAAGGACGCTACTAGGTGGAGGCCATGGCTATTAGGCTGGAGGCCATCGCTATTAGTAACAAGAAGGATTCTCCTAGTAGCAAAGGACATTATTGCTAATAAGAACAAAAGGGATGCTGGGATGAGATGCAACGTGATGACGTGATCCGTGATGCACGGTGATGCACGGTGATGTGGCAATTCGTGACTTGATGTGATTTGATGAAGTGTAATGTTTGGTCATTGGTGATGTGTTGCGAGGATTCATGATGTCAGGAAAGGCAATGGTGTGAGGTGATGTGTGCAAACTGACGTGGGTGCCATGAGCCCCATTCTATAGCTTGTTTCGTCCAACACGTGGAAGTTTAGGGAAATGGAATTTGTGCATTTATACTTTTGTACTTGCTTCATCTTGGGTTGACCGTGAACAACAAACCAGCCATTTGACTTAGAATCAAAGCGGACGAGAACCTAAATTGTCCAAACATTGAAGTTGCATTCTGCTATGAGCTATTTGCCATTTGCATTCATCCACTTGACAGACACCGCCTGCAACACAGACACACACACACACACAGACGCACACACGCACACAGGCATTCGCACCCGCACATGCACACGCGCACACGGATGCAGGAAAGAGCACACAATCAAGAGGTTCCGGAGACAGAATAATTCTCACGATACAAATTTGCCAAGTCATTTAACAAGTGCCTTACTACTAGTAACAAGAATCTACTAGTAACAAGAAGGCCACTTCCCCCTTCACCTCACCGCACCACAATCCACAAGCAGCAGTTTTCAGTGAGGCATTGCTCATGGTCTCACCTGGATCCTCATTTTGCCCATTTTCTTCGGCAGCTTCTTTGCCGCGCTCATGATCATGTTTACCCTGCAGGAGACCGTGACATGAACCATCAAGAGAGAGAGAGAGAGGGATTCTTCGGCGGAAGGAGGGTGTCGATCGGTGAAAGGAGGTGTTAGCACGGTGAGAAACATGAATTTGCGAGATCCATGCCAAAACCAATATGGAAGAGGCCTCGACTTGGCAGTTCCGTTACCGTGGGCGCCAGGAACTCTGCAACATGGCGCTCTTGACGGCTTACAATGAGCTGAACTCTGAACTGGAGCATGAAGGCCTCCTAGGGACCTGAGATGAAGAAGTGAAAGATGCCCTGTGACCAGTGGATGAATCCCTTATGTGACGTTACCGGGGAGCCAGGATGACGCCCAGATCATATGGATTGGTTGATGTAATAGATGGATTGGTTTGGATGATGATTTGATATGGATTGGTTGGATTGGACAGCCTAAAGGGCCTATATAATGCTGATGGCAATGCACGTTGGCATTGAAAAAGAAGATTCCGGATGAAGAGGGGACTTGCCTTTAGCAGGCAGAGTTCACCTGCAACTGGCAGACTGCTACTAAAGACATTTTGAGGCACTTAGTGATGTTGATGTGCCGAAATGGGCCTATGTTATGTTTCAGGTTTCAAGGCGAAACAGGTTTCACCGAGTCACCATCATCCTGGTTTCTCCACATTAGGGCTGGCTGGATTCCTGCCTTCACTATATCTGAGGATTTTGGTGGATCCCATCAGTCGAACGTCGCAGCATTTTCCTACCCCAAACACTCCATGTATATGGAATATTTACATACATTGACCCCTGAAATCACCCCAGTGTATGCAAATATGGCATACGTGGAGTGTTTGGGTACATGTAAACAAATAATCCTGGTCTTGGACTCAAGAAATCTTCCTCTCTGTAGAACCCGAACCCCGAAACGGCGACGCCACCTTTGTTCACTTTCATGGCAGGCTTGGAGGCGGTGGTGAAGCGAGGCGATGGCATCAACGTCACTGACCATGACTTGTATCGCTTTGAGGCGCGGATCCGGGGCGGAAGGCTGGGCGGATCCGGGGAATGCCATTTTTTCGGCGTGGTGCAGGTTGTGTTTGGTTTTCGCTTTCTTTGTTCGGTTTTCGCTCTGAGCACTTTCAGCTGGCGAAAGTTCATGAACAGCTCATGTCCAAACAGCCACAGCTGGAGCGGCAGGTGAAGTACGCGAAAAGCTGGGAGTTGTACAAGAAAATCCAGAGTCACACGGCCATGCCCCTCTTTGTGTTCTGGTTCATCGAGCTGGGCCTCGTGCCCCTTGCCATGCGATTCGCGAGCTCGCGTTCGCGTGGATGAGGAGGTATAAATTGAGCTGTACGCCAAAGCATTTTCTAAGTACATGAGTGCGAGTTCCTATTGCCCTCTACTTCGTTGGACACGTGAGAAGAGATGGTATTAGGCGCTGCATCAGAACACATCGAAGCCCCGTGTCGTCGACATGCCTCAAGTGTGAGTCTCCGAAGATAACCGTTAAACCACAAATAAATACCGGTTGATAACCGTGTCCAAGCACGTGGAGATGCGGATTGCTTGTGGATGACCCAGCACGTTTTCAAATAGGGGGTTCTGAGCCAAAAAGCTCCTAGGAACGTCCTTGCTCCTAGTAGTAAGGCCAGGAGCTCCTAGTAGCGTCCTTGCTCCGTTCGTAGCGATGCGCTTTGCTCCGTTCGTAGCGTCCTCTACCCCACTCGGTGTGGAGGAGTTGATATTCAGGTCGCTTCGCGATGATATCCGCCCACACCAGTTGTTTTGAAAGACTGCGTGGGCATGGCTTAAAGGGCGTCCGGTCCAACTTATATTACATTCAACCATGCCTGCAATGTACTACTTATTCTACGCTATTGTACTGTATCGCATTGTGGTATACGCTATTGTACTGTATCGCATTCGACTGAATTGGACTACTCTATCAGATAGTATTGCGTTGTATGCGTTGCATCATTGACTTTATTATTCAACCCCCCTTGAATGTATCACTGTGTGATAGCCTACTTTATCGTATTCGATTGAATTGAGTTCTATTCTATAATATCATATTGTATCATATTGCATGTATTGTAATCATTCCATTTGGGAAGCCCCTTGACATGTTACATATTTGAGGGAGTGCAACTTTTATCCGACAATGCCGCATGCTGACAATTTGTTATTTCCTATGTGCTTTTGTGTCTATCATGCATATTCATATGGTGTAGTTTTGTATGTATGTTCTTACTGTTTCATACCTTTATATATGATGATCACCCTGTAATGTACTTGCATCATTTGCATTACTAGGTCCACTTCCTTGCATGTTTTCTCCCACCACTGACACACTCAATGATGCCAGATATGCAATTCCGTTCTCAAACAACAAAAATAACTCTTCGTAGCTAAAGCTGTGGTGTGGGTGCCGACACAACAACGCCCCCCTCAGCACCTTCGGTGCGGGCAGATGTAACATTTCTTAACGACTTGCAATCCAACAATCCACCTTGCTGAGGATTTGGTCGGTGTGGAGCATGGCTCAAGGTGCTCAGTCTGATGCAGCTTGGCAGATTCAGTAGTTGGACCTGTCAAGCATTTTACGGCAGAAAACACTGATGGAAGAGGTGATGAGCAGTGAAAACTGTGGAGGTAAACCTGCAGATAAACGATGTCGTTCTGTTTGCAACTGCATCGATGCATCGGTGTCCCAGGTGAATGATTGGCGAGTTCCGCACTTGAAGAGTTATTGGAATCTCGTGGTGCGGCTGAGCTGGTTCGTCGGAGGTGGGCGAACGGGGTTCGGAGTTGAACCCGATTAGGAAGCTACTAGGAACAAGTGCATCGCTTCTAGTAACAAGTGCCTTACTAGTAGTAACAATGTTTGCTATTAGGAACAAGTGCCTTACTACTAATAACAATAAGAATTTAAATTAATACTAGCAAAGGAATCTACACTGGAGAGACAAAGAACCCGATTCGGAGCCCGGTCCGAAGAGAATTTCCGCTTTCGTGGTTTGAAAGATAAATTCCATCGTTTTCTGTTTAAGTCAACAAGAAGCTACTAGGAACAAAGGACATCGCTACTAGGAACAAGAAGCTACTAGGAGCAAGGGCATCGCTACTAGTAACAAAGGGCATTACTACTAGTAGCATTCTTGCTACTAGGAACAAGAGGACGCTACTAGTTTTCTTTTTTCATGGTGACACTGTGACACCTGCAGAGACGCAGGTAGCCCCTGGTTCGGTGCCGGCTGCTGGATCACCGCACTCCTCCCATGGGGGAGCATCTACTATGCTGCTTGGAAGTGGGCCTACTCGTGGGATCCAACTGATGTGGTTGGTGTTTTATTCTTTTTTAAATAAATCTATATATGTCTACTCAGAAATCTAGTCATGGCCGATTTGGCTGACCGGAACAAGCTTGACCACCAGAAAGGACTATACCTGAGAATGTCCACCAGTCGAGCATCAACCATGATGAGCCATGAACCCCTTCATCAGTCCTCACACCTGGTAGTTCCTCAGAATGAGGCTCCAACCCTTCCATCACAAAGAATGAGTCGTCGTTTCGAGGCTTGGAGAATGAACAATCTCAGCAAGCGCTTGATCTTCAAGAATCCCACCACCAGGCAAGGTGAACCGAGCTCGCTCGCTCGCTCCTCCCCGACCCGTCGGCCCGTCGGACCGCGCCAGTTAGACGCACGTCGAGCACGACCGAGTCATCGGTCGAACGATGACGGACGCTTCTTCATCGGGAGGTGACCGTCAGGGAGGAATTGATCAAATCAGGAACACAAAGAAACTTGTCTTTGTATGTCTTTGTTGGATATCAGATCATCCATTTGTAGGTGACTGTGAGTGGAGAATGGCTCATGATCATTGCCGGCTGGCTAAAGTGTTGGGTATAGCCAAGCAAGGAACTTAACGCTTCAACAGGTGTTTTCTTTCACCAAGTAGGATGCTTGCCAAAGACTGGGCAAGAATGGCAAGCGGGACACCTATTTTTCTTCCTTGCTAGACTCATATGGACGATAAAGGCATCCCCCAGACCCATGGAGCTGGACAATTGACATGCCGCCTCGGACCTAGCAATGGCCTCCAACCTAGAAGCTCCTGGCGACGCCCAAACCGATGTCACCTTCGCGCGCTCTTGGCCTGTCGCTGCGTTCTCTCACTCCAGGCACGCCTTCCGGTCTTTTCTGGCGGAGTTTGCCTTGGAGTTCCGTGTAAGCTTTCTCCAGGCGACGCCCAAAGGCGGGGCGACCTGCGGCGAGACGAAACCAGACCCACGGGCATGTCGCTGCGACACCGGCTGGGAAGTTGGAATGAATTGGGCATGGAATCTTTTTGAGATTGGGATGTGGCGTGTGAGAAAATTGTACATTGGACATGTAATGACAGATCCATCAGCACACATCAGCCATTGAATGATTGAAGAGAGCCACACAAAGCTGGCACAATGGCTACAATAGACAGCATTGTAGGGGCTACGGGTGGCCAAATGTCCAGCTCCAATGTCTGTAATTACTGAGGTTCTTTCGATCTGTGTTTGTACTGATTCTTAGAACTAAGTCCTGCATTGTTCCTTTGTGGTTCTAGTTTCCTGCTGTTGTGTGTGTATATTCATATATGCATGTGTGTGTGTGTTCTCTTCCGCTTTTTGACTATATACTATTATACTTTCTTTGTCTCTGCGTTTCGCACAAAAAAATCCTGACACGCCAAGGTTGGTCTCAAAAGTGTGAGACCAAACTTGCCAAGCCACCATGAGAGACCAAACCAAAGCAAGCCAATTTGGCGAAGGTCTCTTACTCTTCGTGCCAATTTTGGTGGTCAACACCTTGGGCTTCGTCTTCGATGCCTTACGGCTCTTCAACTCCATATGAGGCAGGGCAAGAAGAGAGAGCTCAGCTTAAGGTAGGCGAAAAGTCTGGTGAGAAGACAGGTGAGAAGACCTGAAAGAACATCGAACGATGAGACCTGCTTTGGCAGAATTGGGGTGAAGACAGGTTTGTCTTGTGCATGTATCTGTGGGTGAAAAAGGATGAATTCGCCTGAACTCACTTTTTGGGCATTTTTGTAATGCCATGTGTCAACTTGAGGGCGAATCCGTTGATCTCGAGATGTCTGGGCGAATCGTTTGGATCACAAGGTCGAAGCAGGCTGGAACCGGCCGAGGTGCGTGCAGGTGGGCTGCTCCCGCTGAGATGATGTGGCCGAATTCGCGCAGCTTGCTGTGGGCTCGGCTCGCAGTAGATTTGTGAGAGGCTTCCTTAGTACGAAGAATATGAATATGAAACATGGGATTTTCCTCACAATCAGAAGCTATCCCATGTTGGCATTGATTTATGCCCTAGTTGGCTGAGCATTACGCTGTTGACTTGTTCCCTCCTAAAGAAGGCGCGCTTTGGAGGCAGAAAAAGTTTTATTGAAACCATAGCTGGCTTGCTTGAACCTCCCAAAGGAAGGTGAAGCTGCCGTTGCCACCGTTGCGAGATCACCGTTTTTGGAACGACCGCATCCATCACCAAAGCTGTTGGATGTGCGAAGCTACGGCATAAGGTTTGTTTTGAAGGAAGGATTTGGGCCCATGCAGAAAAGCATAGCTGTGTAGAAATGAGAAAGAAAGAAATAGGCGACAGACGTCACAAATCATGTGCAGTCAACTTCCAAACAACACAACTTCCTACTAGGAGCAAAGGGCATCGCTACTAGGAGCAAAGACACTACTAGGGGCTCCTGGCCTTACTACTAGGAGCAAGGACGCTACTAGGGGCTCCTGGCATCGCTACTAGGAGCAAGGGCGCTACTAGTGGCTCCTGGCCTTTCTACTAGAGCAAGAAGCTACTAGATAGTAACGAAGGGCATCGCTACTAGGAGCAAGAAGCATCACTCTGTTTTCAAGCGGGGCCAGATCCCCGCTGACTGCTAGCAGAGTCACATGGGGCGAACCATGGCGCAGCCATGTCGTGCTGGTGGGATCTCGCCCTCACCGAAGAAAGGATCTCTTGGTGGCTTAGTGGTCTTGTTACGCGGTCAATGTGGTGAAGGAAACTTTTAGAACTGTTCCTTAAGCTGGAGGCCATTACTACTAGTAACAAGAAGCTACTAGGTTGGAGGGCATCGCTATTAGGTTGGAGGCCATCACTACTAGTAGCAAGAAGCTACTAGGTTGGAGGCCATCGCTATTAGGTTGGAGCCCATCACTACTAGTAGCAAGAAGCTAGTAGGTTGGAGGCCATCGCTAGGCTGGAGCATGCTGGAGCTACAGCCTACGTGAAATTTGATCCGGCAGAGACAGACACATGGTTTCGACAAAGCCACTCTTCCTCGACCTGATCTCGGACTATTGAAATCGAGCGATGTGGCTGGTTATTTGTCCGAACCACCGGAACAGAGATAGACGACTTCAATGCTGAATCATTCGTCGTTTGGGATCCCCAAAGGGTTTGCATTAATCCCTTCCACCTATTAGAGACACGGGTCTTCGACATGAGTGTTTTTTAGTTGAGGGGTAGTGCTTTTAAATAGGTACTCGGGATTACGGCATTTTCTGAAGACCAGAAGGCCATTTCCGGAACCCAGACCTGTTGGGAAAAGAGTCTGACAGATGGCCCTATCACAAGTCCCAGTCCCATCAGAGGCGAAAAGCCAAAGCGGCTAGGCACCTGGTGAGATGTGTTGCAGGAGGGTCTTTGCGAAGCTTGGAATGACGATAAAGGCCACCTACGAAGACGCTAGAGGTGTGGTATGGTGTGTTATTTGTTTAAAAAGAATCGACAGTTATTCCAATCCTAGTCTCCGCATGCTCCTCTATGTTTGGCAGGGTTAGCTCCGAAACGGTCTTTGTTGCTACGAAGCACCTCGGTTCTCCTCGACTGTGAGGGAATTTCTTCAGTCGGACTGAAACATCACCAGCGGCTTGCGAAGCAAGCGTGGATCGGCCAGACAGGCGATCAACAACCTTCGAAGCTTATTGCTTTGCATATGTCCCAAGCAAATATGTCACATAAAGCACATATTAATATGTCACATAAAGCAAAATGTTCAATGCATCAAAATAAGGCAGGGCAGGTGCAGATCCTGCAACAAATACATGATTCTGAGACAAACCATGAAATTGGAGTTGCCCTGCCACTGGGACCTCTGGGTGGGTTGTGCTGCTGGTTCGATCCATATGTTTGACACCTCCTCCATACCTCCTCCCCCTGAATTCGCCCCACTTCTTTGAACATCAAAGTTGATCTTTCCACGACAAAATCTGCTGAAGAGGATCGTGGGCCGTGGCACAGTGGCGTCGATTGGGGGGAGGCACTTGGAGGCGTTCAGTTTTGGGCGCCAAAAAGCAACGTGGATGGTCGAAACGCTGGGTATGGACGAAATGCTACCCATACGGCAATTAGGGGTTGGAGGCGCGCTCTCTCCAGGGCGCCCAATGGCTTCTGAAGGCCACTTCTCCAACATATCGTTTCTGTGCCCTCAGCAATTGGAGATGGCCAGTCCGTCGTGTGGCTGGCGTTGTTTGTGGGATGCCCTTTCAGTGCCAACCATCTACTATAGTATATCAAACGTAAAAAGTAGAAACCATAAAACATGAGAAAAGCCCGCAAAGAGCATCACAGAGCGGGAGATTCTCGAACTTTCACAGGTTGATTACCACGGGAAAGGTGGCCCAGCACCTGCAACAGGGCGCCACGATCCCCAATAGTACGCATATATTATACTATATAATCCCAAACAAGACTTGTACTTCAACTTGGGTCATACCTCCCTCCCCCATACATGCAGGACGTCTGGGCCGTTCAATGTCACTGTCACCGCGTGGGGAGAGCGGCACCTCTGGCGGCTCGTGGCGCGTCTCTAGCTCGTGGCGCGTGACTGGCACCCAACGAAGCTTCGGGGCTTCACGGCACTGCACCGCGACAGGGGTTCTGAGTGAGCCAGGATCCAGCAGGAGCCAGCACGGTTCTTTTTTTTTTGGTGGAACGGCAAATAGCAAGGTTGCTTTTGCTCAGCTTTCAACACCATGTATAGTCGTATAGTAATGTCATATACTTCTCCCAATTAGGCTGATGTGTTACATATTTGCAATCTTAGTGTTCGGAGGAGTGGATCTTCGCTTTACCCAGAAAGCTTGTAGACCACGAAGACCGAGTGGAGTGAGAGCACTAGTGGAACATTTATGCAGGACTCGCTGCATAGCAGATTGATCTATGCTGATCGGCTTTTGCTCACCAACTTGGAACCCCGTCCTTCGCGACTTCGCGCTAACTTGGCTGCGCGGTTTGCGTGCAGTCAAACACGGAAAGACCTCCAGACTCCATGACCGGCTTCCAGTGTTGAGCTGGAGAGCGCAAAAAGGACGCTTGCGCATTTGGCGGTTTTTTTTTGTGGCTTCCGGAGAAGCAGGGTTCGCAGCGCTCGCTTTGCCTAAGACTGCTGGCTTGCAATTGGTAGCTCTGTATCTAGTAGAAACCTCGCTTCCGACAGGGGACAAGATCGATCGAGATGCTTGACTCAAGACATCTCAAGACGCTTCAAAACCATCGCTTCTAGCTTGGAGGCCACTTCTAGGTTGGAAGCTATAGCTACTAGTTACTAGTAACAAGTGCATCGCTACTAGTAACAAAGGGCATCGCTACTAGGAGCAAGAAGCTGCTAGTAGCAAGGCACCTTACTACTAGTAACAAGAAGCTATTAGGAACAAGTGCATCGCTTCTGGTAACAAGTGCCTTACTAGTAGTAACAAGAAGGCTCCTTTTTTTCGTTTCCGTTTCCGAGTCCCGTTGGAGGCCCTCGCTCGCGCCACGTCTGATCCTTCGCCGGATCTCAGCGTAGACACGCGTAGACGCCGCAGCCTGGGGGACGAGGGCGCGGCTGCCGTGCAGGCGGGAAACGGCCGAACAGATCGGCCCAAACGGAGCAGCAAAGGACGCTACTAGGAGCAAAGGGCATCGCTACTAGGAGCAAGGGCCTTACTACTAGGAACAAGAAGCTAGCAGCTAGTAGAGACAATAAGAAGCTATAGACTTTAATTTGCATATATAAGTATTTTTGCATCAAGGGAGCCTGAATAGCTGCACTTGCAGCTGAATCTTGAGAGATGTGAAGGGAAATTCAAGGTTGTGCATCGTTGACTTTTCGCTTGGATTTCAATGCAATGTTAAGATACCATGTCATATGACAGTGAAGATTGTGAACGATCGTACTTCGAGTGCCAAGGCGATGGGCAAAGATGAGATGAATCCATCCCAGGCGAGGACAACAGCCGACACAGCACATGAAAAGAAACAGCAGTCCGTCCGTTAAATTGGAACTTTAAATCAGTATACTACAAGAAACAAGGCAGTAATCGCATCGACTCTCCGTTTGGTCGTCTCCTCTCACCCTGCTTGTTGGCATGCGAGGTGCTGGAGAGATGCATCGCTGGTGAGGCACTGGTGATGTGAGAAATGGGTGTTTTTCGATGAGAAACAAGGAGTGGGGAGTAGTAGCGTCCTCTTGCTACTAGTAGTCCTGGTAGCTCCTTGCTCCTAGTAGCGATGCCCTTTGTTCCTAGTAGCGATGCCCTTTGTTACTTTATAGTATGTATTTCTCTTTCTACCATTTTGCAAGAGGGCCTTCAAATAGTTGATCCTTCGTGGTTCTCCCTGTGACATGCAAAAAGACCTCGGAATCAAGCTCAGCAGTTGCGTTCCGACTTGAGAGGTGCCTGAAGGAAACGCTTTGCCTCAGGTGGGACCGGAAAGATCCGTGGAAAAGACGACCACCTGTGGTGATGGACCCCCCCCTGCGGTGACACCTGTCATCTGGGAAGTGTCCCAAGAGAAGCTGGGAAGATGGGAAGATGGGAAGAAATCAACTTGAACTCTAAGCTTCCCACTTCAGCCGAGCACGAGCAACGGCTTTGCTTCGGACGCTCCGGACGGTCGTTCGATTCTTCGACGTCCGTTCGCTCGCCAGTTGCTCCACATCTACTGTGAGGACCCCAGGCGAGCCGTGAAAACGACGTGAAAGCCATTTGGGCGGACCAGTTGGGACATTTGAAAGAATCCATTGGCATCCAGGTCCCGTAGGTTTCCGCAACACAACGGAAGCACTGGCCTTCACTTGACCTGGCAGGGCTGTCATCACAGCGCTGTGCGAGAAGGCGGCCTGTGGGGGTCAATGAATTCCATCGGATTCCCTTACTTGGCAGTTGCACAGCACACCTTGACGTGTCTGACTTTCCAGTATATTCGATTGAACAATCGCATACACTATTTATATATGGAACTGAAGCATGCATTTGTACAGACAC